GAAAGTATTATACATCTTATTTATTTTTTTCTTTAATCTTTCGGAATAATTCTCGAAGCACGAGTGAGCTATATGTGGTTATAAAATGTATGCATTGTATATATATATATATATATATTTATATTTTAAATATAGATTAATTCTTTGCGATATGTCCACCCTCGTAATAGACGGTATTTAGTCTAATCCGTTTAGTCGTGAAAAACAATCAGACCGATAGACAAACAAACTTTCACATTTACCATTTTAGTGTAGATTATATACTAGATATAAAGAAGTTTATGTAGCCATGACCTTAGGAGAACCGACAAAAACGTTTATCATTGTATAATATCGGCATATATGATAAAACCACTTTTATTTGGGTTATAAAACTTAGACAATAGCTATAATTCCCCACAAGGTTTCCTAATAAGAAGACGCTAAACAGCTTCATGCGGTTACAATTGTTCGCGTATTTCTCACAGTTTGCCTATTGTATTGTACATTCATTATATAATATTGTTATACTTATTTAATCATAATGTTTATACAATTTATTATACTAGCGACCCGTCCCGGCTTCAGACGGATCTATTACAAATTTTTGTTGTTTTTTTTCTATGCTATAATACGCATATATTATACATATAAACCTCCATCTTGGATCACTCTATCTATTACTGAAAACTGCATTAAATAGTTAATGGCAGCGAATGGTGGACTGTAATGTTCTTAAAATCATTGATCCATATTTTTCTTATAATGAATATTAAAAAGATGACAAATAAAAATGGAATTAAATTCAAATTTAAAATTAAAAAGTATAACAACATAAATGAAATTTATCTTATGTATCGTTTGGGGTAGGTACAGATAAGATAATATTATGCGCAAATAAGTTCCGTTTTATAGGCTATATTTATGGCTCTCAATTTTTGACCATCGGAAGGTGAGGCAATATGCTTAAATACTAGACCACCGAGGACAACTGAGTCTATTTTTAAGAAGAGATTTAAAATATAATTTTTAATTATTATTATTGTAGGGGTTACTAAGTTTAGAGCAATAAAAATTGTTTAAATCCATTGTTTCCGCTCTGTTGCCTTTGTCGAACCGGACTTAAACGAAAATAAACCACGACTTTTCACAGTTTATTCAATAATGAATGCATTCTTATTATACACAATTGTACTTCTCATGGTGTTTTTACAATTATAAATAAACAGGTTGTATTTAACAAAAAATATCTTTTAATTGGACGTTATCAGTATTTAAATTTTGTTAATGGTATCATTCATTAAATCAATTTTATGGTAGATAATTAACATAAAATTATATAGGATATGAAACCATGGAATTCATTTCTGCAAGGAAACCCAGCAAGTTTAAGCTATTTAACCTTTGCCAGAAAGATATCCTTAAGCGAGAGTAATTAATTTAAGCGGGAATAATACGACATAATTATATGACTATTAAAGGTTCTCTTCAAGGTACCGTAAGATAAAGTAAGGAATAAAATATGAGAGATTATTGATATTTTGAAGCATTTTTAAAATGACAGAACTGAATTATTTTAAACTGCCTTAGATTTATCAAAGCTTCAACAGATTCAATTCACACAGCGCCATTTACACCCAAGTTAAGCTAGCTAAAGCTTGTGTTATGGGTTACTTGATAACTGATACATATACATAGATTTTTTTTTGTAAATATATACATAATATACATAGAAAACACCCAGACCGATACAAACAATTATACTCATGAATACAAATGTTTGTGCCGTGCGAGGAATCGAATACGCGACCATCAGTCCTAAAGCGGTGTGCTAGATCGGTGGACCACCGAGATCGTCGATGAAAGAACATATATATCTAAGGACAGCGCTATTAGCTTTTTTTTTAACTGCCTGACTAATGTGATAAAAAATAGAACAGAGGATGGGATTGTTAGTAATAGGAAGCAGTGGTGTCTGAAACAGTTAGGCAATATACCATGTCAGATTGATTTCCACAAGTGCCTTCCTAGAAACCATTTTAGGGCATTCCTGGTGAAATCTGACCTGCTACGGGCTAACTGCCTGGCTCATGCCTGCCTTCATTCATGCCCATGATGAAGCCAGGATGAACATGATGCCTTCATCCTCCACTCACATACACGTCCTCATCTACCAGCATTTATCGTCAGCGCACGCGAGTGTTTCATGTTCAACCATATTCATTAAGATAAAAGATACAATATTAATACTTATATTAAATTTTCGATATCATTAACAATATTAAACATTTTGCAAATGTCTCGATGATATTTCCGGCAAAACTAACACCATATAGCTTTCGGCCGTGAGCCAAAGTTCACTAAATCGACATTATCAATAGATTCCGTTATGCAATGAACGGAACCCAGATTTCAAGGGTCAAGGTTCAATAAGAACAAATTTTATCAGTTCGCTCGTTATATCTTTGTCTAATATCGATCATTTATATTAAACATTAAACACAAGCTGTGCCAGCGGTCCCCGCGGAAATTTATGACCTATATGTTATTCTGATGTATAAGCTATATTACTGTAAAGTTTCATCAAAATCCGTTCAATAGTTTTTCATGAAAGAGTAACAAACATCGGATGGATGTTTGTTACTCTTTCATGAAAAAATACTTACAAAATCTCGCGTTCATAATATTAATACGATTACCTTCATTGTTCAATGATAGCTGTAATAATAGTCTAGTATTGGTAATATTAGTATCCGATCAGGAAATAGTATAAATTAATAAAATTTCTATTGCGCATTTACCTTGTTTTTTTTGTATATACCATATTAGTCCTAAGAAGGAGATGAAGAGTTTGAAGTAGATTTTTTGTGAAATTATATAAATTTTGTAAACAACGCTACGCACCTTTTGATAGTAATACGTTTCCAAACCTTTGGACTTCTAAAATTCATTAAAAAGAATCTCTTAGTTTGTGTCGGGATAACTGTTTTTTAATGTAGAATATGGTAAAGATGACCTTCTTGGGTAAGAATAGCTCTCTTCAATTTATACCAAACATTTTGATAACAATCTATGTGGTGTTTGACGGCACGAATACTGATTGACGTCAGTATATTCCCACCGTGTTTTCCCCTGACTGTACATAAACTCATGCGTAACAAACAATTGTAACAGTTGCCTAAATTTCATTATGTTATATATAAATCTATTCAATAAACTTGGTATTGGAAACTATATTTTAAAGCACTTAAAAGAAGGTTTAATATGAGTTTGAGTACGCAAGTAGGTACTCTGATATGTATCAGAGTACCTACTTACACAGAAATATATATGTATATATCTCTGTGTTCCCCAAACAGCTTCATTGATTGCTATCACGCTAAAGCGTTAGATATGGTAATAGCAGTATTGAATGATGTGAATGTTCGAATGTTCTAGATTATTATATGGCGTATTAGGTATCACAGACTTATGAGTAAGTCTTTGCGTTTGGGTGTAAGTCTTTGCTTACAATCAGATCATCTGCTTCATTATCATTTCAATTGCATTAAAAAAACATCACAGGAAAGGTTAGGTTATTAGCTAGAGAGAACTCTAGCTAACCTTTTCCCTTTTCATTTGGTATTGGCTCTCCTAGTCACGATTTCTTTGGTCAAGTAATTCGTTAGTCGCCTTATAAGAAGACTTACAAACCCTTTACAATTATTATCCTGTCTGTAGAGGATGTGAAATTTAACCTTCACACGGTATTGTCGGTTTAGTAAGTTATGTTTTACTGTTTAACTGTTACGTAGAATTACGTGTACCACATATAGTACAGCAAATTAGTCCTAAAGGTCGCAGTATGGTTTTGTAACAATGTCAAAAGTTTTTACTACGCCCTTAACTTGAATTTGTCATGTTCATTAAAGTAGATATTACCACATAAGAAATAGTTCACGGTCCCACGTATGTTCCTAAGTAACTGAATGCGGATGGAGTTAATAAATAAGTTGATACAACAAAACTTGCAATGATTTTATAGTTATTTTGATTTGAAAAGTTTATAAGAATCCATTGAATATTAGTCAAAATATAATATAACAAATTTCATCCAATTAAAAGATTTTTTCATTATGAAATCGGAATAAATCACAAAAAGCACTATTATTGACATTATGACTATCATAAGAACTATTCTTGACCTTAAAACTATGATGTCGTATTGTAAATTAATAATATTTTATTATCTAACTGGAACGGCAAACCTACTAACATCCGGATGACGGAAATGGTAACCATCGTCTATATACATCGACCATAGACATTACGTGTGTTCATTGGGACCCCTCATGCGTTGCAATTTTTGAGGATTAAGGTGTCATGTTTCCATGCCCTCTATATCTACAGCCATATTCTCGCCCCTGATAGCCCTTAAAGCGCAATTATAATAATATTAATATTTCAGGACAATTCACACAGCGCCATTTAGTCCCAAGCTAAGCAGAGCTTGTGTTATGGGTACTAGACAACTGATATAAATACATGGATACATTTTTTTTTTGTAAATAAATACATATTATACATAGAAAACACCCAGACCGACACAAACAATCATACTCATGAATACAAATGATTGTACCGTGCGAGGAATCGAACCCACGACCATCGGATAGTAAAGTGGTGTGCTAAACCACTAGACCACCGAGGCTGTCAATTATATCGACTGATTACGATAAAATTTAACAATGACTTTGTACTATATACTGTGTACATGTCTACTCTATATGTTGATTGAAATAATAATTCCGAAACGGCTAATATCTATTTTTACCCATAAGTGATAATGGTTGTCCATTCCTAACATTTTATTTTCTGGACTATTGCTTTTTATTTTTTACAATGTGCCATTAAAAAATACACACAGCCCTAAATTTTCACCGTTCTGTCACCAGTCATTTTAATTTATATGGCAAAACAACGTTTGTGGTGTCAGCTATTTATTATATGCAAGTATTGCATTAATTCTTTTTATTTTTCAGACACATAGGCGCGATCTGACAGTCAAATGGCCAGTAAAATGAAACGATACAGTATTCATTTTAGGACGTTCTTATTGGTGAGTACAGTCTGCTAATGTAACTAAATGTATAATATTAGAACGTGCAACCATGCTTGTCCGTTACACGATCATTGTTTCTATATAATTCCGCAGAAAATAGCGGCTCCATTTATGGGAGGTTATGATTTGTGACGGAAACTACAGCTTGTAATTTTGGTTAAATTTGCAGTTAACATATGTATATATCAATCAGTATAAAATATATAATATATAAATAGATAATAAGTCACTATAAATTGTTTCCTTCTGCTGTTATCTGTATTATCTATCCATCTGTACAAATAAAAAAATGCTTACCTCCCTATTCGGAACAAATAATTCGTTCTACAAACTCATTTTAATTAAAGAAATAGTTTGACACATTCTTTTAAATTAGGAAAACAGTATGGAAGATTTGTTTCTCAAACTGCATATCATTATTTAAAGGATATTTTAATAAAATAATATTGATTCTGCGTTACATTTTTTCATGATTTTATTTAAATTAAAGATTGTGAATGTGTAGGATCCATAATAGTCGTTAATGATGTCCACAGCATGTGGAGTAATTTTATACATAAGTTTCCAATTCTAAAGAAAATATAACAATTTTGCGAATTAAATTCGATAACTAATATTGTTATAACAATACAAAAAGAACACAACACAATATATCAAATAATATGGTACTAGCAATTAATATAGACTTATGGCAATTTGGTAATATTAAAATTAATTTAAAATCTAAACAGTTTATCAAGTATTGCTACTTGGCTCAAAGAAAAAAGACACATAGGTCGAAGTTCACACTGCAGGGGTGCATGACGAATTACAGACAAATTGCTTGTAATACATTATTACAAACGCTCCGCCGTTTAATATACATTACCCGCATTAGCATTTAGGAAACTTGTTTATCTCCATTATGTACACGACCAAATATCTATTAAGCAAAGATTTAAATATTGTCATCGGGTCTAAGTAAACTGTGCATGTTGCTTAATAATTGCCATAGAACGCTTCATTGATGCGTCAAATAGATTCAAAATGAGGAATATTGTCTTTATGAAAACAAGCTGATGGTAAGTGGTTACCGTCGCCAATATATACGATCAGAACTATGGACATCATGGCGGGAGCTGGAATTTAACCGCACCATAAGACCTACCGCGTGTTTGGAATGTCATCTGCACTTGCCTCCCATAGTCCGGTGAAGCTGTAAGGATCAGCTGTCAAAAGGACACTGCCTTGTCCTATGACGTCTGTGATATCGTCACGTAGTAAATTCCAGAGGATGTCATGTCTTATCCTGTAATTTCACTGCCTTTAACCGAATTCTCCAACAGCTTTTAAATATCAAATAACATGACATAAAAATAATAGTTCTAAAAATATAAATTTCAAAGCAATAAAACTATGTCAAGAGTTTGCATCGGTCGGTCACCAACAGGCCATAAATTTCATGCTGGTGAAACAGTGTGCAGAGCTAGTCTTGATGTCTGTAATATAGCTTATACATCTGAATAACACGTAGCCTATAAATTTGACACGAGTGAATTCGCAGGCTTATCTGGTATGTCTCCCATAAGAAGCAGATTTGGGTCGCTAGTAACTCATAATATAACGGTTAACTGATTCGTTCTGTATTTCGGGGCTGTTGCGTCAGTCAGAAATACAAGCGCACTTGACACCACTATGACACTATTGACACACAGTGCTGCAAAAGAACACAGGTCAAAGTATACAGCAATTAGCAAGGTTTGTGCACTATGAAACATTCTTTAACGTGATTATGGATTCATTTGTGTTACTCATCATTTCTTGTTATTCAATGTAATGTCAAAATACAAATTTAGAAATGTTAGGAGACTGCGCAGACGCAGGAGCTTTGATTACATTATTAATCTTTTAAGGAGTTACAAATAAAGGTAGGTATATACATAGAAATAATTATAGATTGACATTACGTTATTATTTGACGCCCCATCAGACATGCCATACCTCATTTCGATGGGTGAAGTATAAGATAGTACAGTGTATGAAATTCACTGTATACTACTTTACACTTTGTACTTATACTCACTTTATTCTTTTTACACTTTTATTCTCATACTCACCGAAACATAACTGACAAAGCAAATTGCTTGGCGGCTGAAATAGGTGTTACTTTATTCTATTTCCTATTGATATCATAAAAATTAGAAATCAGTAGGAAATATAATTTCACGACATTCTCTTAATTTGAAAAAAAAGATTAAATCTTGATAGTTACAATTGATTCGTAGAATCGTTTAATAAATAATTGGGTTGATATTTAATGTTACAACAATTGTTTAAGAGAGCAACCCGCAAGTTTCTTGCTCGTTCTTCTTGTGAAGTGACCGCGTTCAGAATGAGCAGTAGATTAAAAAAGTATGACTGCTCAAAAGTGCTTAAACTTAAGTTTATTTGAATAAAGAATTTTCTATTGTATTTTTTGTCCTAATATATTTAAAGAGAATATGATTTAATTATACAAACGAACATAGACGAAAATGTCTGTGGAGTTCTGTAGAAAATGAAGTAAAATATACAGCTATATTAAGACTGCTGTCGCTGCTGGCTGTTGAGTTGAATCACTCAATAATATATTTGTTGATTGGAATGTTATAAACAATATTAGCCGATCAACTATAACAAACAGCGTCGCGTCGCTTCCAAAAACGTCGCGTGCGTACCCATTATGCAAGTGCCACCCACGAGGGAATTCATTCATAAACACACAATTTACGCATATCACGGTAACCATTTCGGCAAAATTATGAAACATCGAACTACAAAGTCTATTCAACCGAGCAATGTATGTGTAACAATCGCTAATTGTAGGTTTTATTTGTTTCATTGGTAACAGACATCCGCGCTTGAAATTTCCATCGCGATATATTTGGCGAGACTGCATTCTGTTATTAAGTATTTATAAGCGATCAGTTTAGTGTAAAGGTCAGTGAACCGTGTAGTTTCTCTAGACAACAGTAGCACCTATGTATGGACCCGAGAGAAGGTGCATCCGGCTCTAGCAATCTAAATGCGAGGGTCGCCATTTCGCGAATATTGTTTCGAAACATACAAGTAAACAAGTAATTTAGTATACTACTAGCGGTCGCACAGTGGTCGAAATTGGACCATAATTAATTTAACATTCAGTCTGTTCTCAATTTGACCACAGAGAGTAAATATGCGTATATGTATCAAATACACGGTATTTACTACCATGCAAATAAATACCGTGCTATGTGTTTTTATTGACTTAATATTTTTTATGCATAATTTAAAAAATATCCAAACTTTTGTACTATTGTCTCTAACAAAATTTCATTCTGCTCCGTCCTCGCAATTTTCGTAAAAAGAGGTACAATGTTTTTGTTTCACATATTAATATTTTGGTAACTCTACTGTAATAATTGGTAACGTTTCAAGCGTTATATAATAACATAAAAAAGCACATTCGTAAAAAGTATTTAATTCAATATTATGTACTGTAAATATTGTATATATATATAATGAAATCGTAAACATGTTATATTAAAAACTTGTGCAAAGTAATGTCAGAAACAACTTATTCAATTTGAATGATATTTTAGCATATTTATAAAATTGCATAGCTAAAAAGTTATAATCTATTATTATTGCCAACACCTCGCGTCTGAAGACTTCAATATTTTTTTTTAATAATATCAGTGTAGTCTGTTTATAGTGGTGTATATTTTACTGTGAGTTTCTTATATACTTAAATAATAATAAAATCTCTGGATAATTCTCATACTGACATTTAGCACCAAGCTAAACATAGCTCCTGTTATGGGTACTAATATACATAGAAAACACCCAGACCGATACAAACGTACATGTAATAAACATACACATACTCCTGAATACAAATATTTGTACCGTTTGAGGAATCGAACCCGCGAATATCGGAAGTACAGCAGTGTTCTCTACGGCTAGATCATCTAAGTCGTCGTATCAAAATTTATTTATTTCTCATATTAATAAGTGAAATTAATTATTAGCTTTTTGCTGATCATTAATTAATTTGACTATTAAAAATTATATTTCATCAATTTAAGTATATTTAATATCTTTAATACTTGTCAAACGTTTGACTTTTGAATAATTCGCACCACAGGGCCTTATACTTTGTTTCACACATATAAAATCTATAGATTAAATTACTATATTACAATAATACGATTCAAACAGCACACATACATTGTTTCATAAGTTCGCTTGTAAATCTTCACGTGTACCCTTGACACTGTTTCAGTCGTGACACGTCACGGAAATAGCAAGTGACTTGTCACCCAGACCTCTATACCAGCCATCAATCCTCTACATCGCCAGTTTAGAGAGATATAACGAATATTCGGCCTCGGTAGTCTAGCAGTTTAGCACGCCGCCTTACTTCCGATGGTCGCGGGTTTGATTTCAACACGGTTTAAACATTTGTATTCATGAGTATAATTCTTTATATCGGTGTGGTGTAAATATTTTATGTATTTATTTAGAAAAATGATGTATCATAGTATAACACAAGTGGTTTAGTTTGGTACTAGATGGCGCTGTGTGAACTGTCCTGAGATTTTATTATATTATTATCATTATTCTTATTCAGAAAAATTATTCAGAAGTACGAATATTCTGCGTATAATAATGTCTAAAGAGGAATATGTGTAAGTGAGTAATATTAAGACAATGCTAAAAAAGAATTATCTTATAATTAAATCTTGATTCTTGTAACATAATATAGTCTGACAGTAATAATATTATATTATCTGTGGTAATATATAAAGTCTTACGATAAGTCAACAAACGGATCGGTCTCTTTCATTGGCGATGGTTGCAATACGATGCAAACAATCACTATAGAAGCAGTAAATAAATAGTCCTATTAAAAGTAGTCTGTTTTCCAATGCTATACTATTTATCCAAAGCTATATTGCTGTAAAAATCGTCTAAAAGAGTTAAGTAGTTTTTGCGTG